CGTTTAGGTGGCGATTAGTGAATTGATAAGTTCTCTTGTCTTGCAAGGGCTCCTTAAGGTGGGGTCTGGTTGCTGCCGTTAGTAACAACGATCCTAAATGCTGAAGGTGCAGAAATGTTGCTTTACTCATCAGATGGTACTGTGGGCCTGTCTTTTCAGATAGCAACTAACTTACAGTTAAAAGGGGCAAAAAACACCCTTGGCAGGGCCGTCCAATACCGGCATTTGCGGGACATCTTCCTGATGCCAGTCCTGGGCTAGGCGCTTTCTGGGTATGTGAAATGACCTGGCATCCAGCAAGCACTCAACGGCTGCTGAATACAACAAGCTGTTACTCCCATTGATCCTGCTATTTCCTCCCCATTTGCAAAAAAAAAAAAAAAAAAAAGGGATTGGGAAGAAAGAGCAAAGGGGGAGGAGAGAAGAAGGGACAAGGTTGGTATTGGGCTTGGTATTGGGGACAATGTTTCCCCGTTTTGTCCAAACCTCTCTGATTAAGACCCCACCCTAAGTCGTTCCTCCTGGCTCTGATCTTCAAAAGGGAAAATCGTGTTTTTTGATGTAACCCGAAAAGCCTGCCCACCGAGGGAGCTGACGACCTGTTCTTGGAGGCAGCAAGCCGCTTCCAATGCGGAACTTTGATAATCAAGGAGTTCCTGAATTCTAACGTGTCATGTTCTTGCCAAGTTTCCCCTGCTGGCATGAGGAGCACGATTCTGTGCCTTCTGGCCTGGAATAAGAGAAAACCTACCCCCCTCCAGTTCCTGCAGGGTGTCCCCGAAATAACTGCATTGGACGAGACAGTGTGGACTCTGCCTGACCTTCAGGTCCAGCTCAGCACTACAGCACAGCCTGAAGAAGCACAAGTCCAACTCGAAGTCTTCAAAGAGTCGGGAAAGGAAAGCCAGTGTTTCCTGAAGACATGGGATATTGGCAAAGGGGCAATGCTCCCTCATAATACCCAACTCGACTTCCTAAGACCCCCTTCAGCCCGTCTGCCCCAAGCCCGCTCGGCCTTGCCGCTCCGCTCGCAAGTTCTCTTCTCCTCTCTGTCCAGCTCTCCTCTCCCTTCTACACTGAATTTTTTCCCCTCTTTCTGAGAGCAATGAGCTTTTTTCATGCAAATTAATTTAGCCTTTTTTAGACTAGTCCCAACTTCACCAGTTCACCAACCTCATCAGTCCTCAAACGTTCAGGGAAAGCAACAAAATATTCAGCAGGAGGGCCTCCCTGGTGGCGCAAGGGGTTAAGCACCACATTAGGAAGCTGTCCGCAGCCTCTGCAGCACAAGTTCCATCCTGGCCGGCCAGGGAGCTACCCACATGGCACAGCAGACCTCTCCTGTCTCGCCCGCTGCTCCCCTCAGCAGTGTACTTCATCAGTCTGCCTGTTCTGCTCCCCACTCTGTCTCTGGTGAATCCTCTCACCCTCCCACACCTCTGGCCTGCACCCCAGCTCTTGTATGCATAAATAAATAAATCTTAAAAAAATATATTCAGTAGGAGATCAGGGAGGGGGAAAGGCAGTGAATATGCCAATGACCACTATGTTCCCTCCCAATAACATCCCGAGAAAACCACAAGGACGAGCGAGGGCTGGACATGGGTGTGTTTGGGTGTAGACAACCTACATCTACAACTCCAGCTTTCACCATGGATCCTCCTCAGAGGGACTGGTGGGTTTCAAACCCATGTGTCTCCCTCACGACGCGGCATTGACACCACTGCCGTTATGAGGACTCAGCATCCTGGTCACCGAGAAAAAATTAATCACAAGAGGCCTTTTGGAGGCTAACATCTACTTTGTAAGAGTTTACGCTCCCAGTTGAAGACAGCTGCTCGCGGGGTTGGTCACAGACCAGAGCGTCGGTCCATGGAAAGAAAAGGACTTTTTCCTGTGACTTTAGGGCGGGGCTGTTCAAAGTGTCCAGCCCTGCCCACTGATATCACTTCTTTGGGTCGTACTTTTTGTCGTACGCTCGGGCCCGGCAGTGTTACGCATGTTATTTTATTCAACTGTAAAAAGCCAAACAAGTCACCGGACTCAGGAGTTGGAGCTCCTCCGAGGGGCCTGCAGGTGCTCCCGCTAGGATCACGGGGGGTCTGGTGGACTCTGGGGTGGCAATGAGGGTGGACTACCCGGAGGGGCATGGAGGAAGGGGGCATGGGAGGAGCCCTCTGGCGCTGCTGCCTGGGCAGCTGCTTCTGCTTGGGAGGAAACAGACACCTTACTAGTAGCATCATTCCATTCCATCTCATTCCACGGGGAACAGTGTCTTGTCATCCCGGCCCCCTGCGAGATGGGGTGCTCCCTGAGCTGTCACGTGGTGCGATGACAGTGAGCCCAGGTTCAACCCCATTTTACAGCTCCAGACCTGCCCGGGAGGGGCCCTGGGGTCCTGCCCAGGCTCCCCACCTCCATTCCTGTGCCCTGGCGTCCCCTCTCCAGCACACCCCGGCTCCTGGCTCCACCGGTCCAGGCCCTGCCCACCCCAGCCGGCCTCTCAGCGGCTTCTCCCACCAGACTCAGCGCGCGCCCCACCCCTACTTGCTCTGCGCCCTGGTGGATCCGGCCGCCTCCAGCCCCACAAACCTCACCTCCCCACGCCTCAGGCATCAGGGGAGGAGAGAGCAGTGGCGACTGACCACTGCCCAGACCTAGATGGCTCACCGCCGCCTCGGACCTCCTGCCTCCGGCAGACGGCGGGCCACCCCTGGAGACCCTGCCCAGCCACCGGGGCGGCGACACCGGGACCGGCCTCCAGGGGGCGCAGCCGCGAGCAGGCCATGAGATCGCAGGGTCACCAGGCTGGAACCGGCGGGATGTTAGGGGGGCGGCCCACGGAGAGGAGGCTCAGGCCGCCTTCCCGGGATCCCACAAGGAGGCCGGGGCTGCGCGCTGCGGGAGAGTGGCCCGGGTCTTTCTAGACAAGGAGAATGCTTCGCGGGCTGGGCGAGGCGCCTGCCTTTAGCGCTGCTCCATCCTCCTGCCCCCACTTGGGCAATTTCCTATAATCCTCCCTCCGGCACCAGAGGGGCAGGGGACCCGGGAAGCTGGCAGGAAGGAGGTGGGCACAGCAGGACAGGGGTCGGCAGGGTGTCCCCCAAGCTCCTTCTCTGCCCCAGCCAGCTCTGAACTAGGCTCTAGGAGATAAGATTTAGGGAGATGCTTTAAACATGCAGACGCGAATTGGGGCGGGGGTGACAGGTGGAAGCTCCCCGTGGGGAGAAACAGACAGGGCCCTGCAGGGAGGTTCTGGGCTGTCAGACCAGGAAGGGCAGGCACCCTGGTGAGTCGGGTGACCCGGGTGGGGCGGGAGAGGTAGGTCGGGGCCTGAACCCACAGGAAGCCGCCCAGGGCAGGCAGGGCCAGGACAGGCCGGGTCGTGGGAACCTCAGCCTGACCCAGAGCAAGGGACACGCGCCCTGGTTTGGCCCCAGAGGCAGGCGCTGTGCCGTGTCCCTGCGCGTCCTCCAAGCTGCCTGGGGGGCACCGGCGCCGCCTCCAGCCATAGCCACCGGGCTCCCCGGGACCTCCCAGATCCCTGTTTGCTGAGGCCTGCCCTGTGCTCTTTACTCCCCAGCTTCGTGGGGAGGGGTATGTGCCTGCAAACCACCCCCCAGGGTTCCTTATGACTGGAAAGGCCCTCGCAGGGAATCACTCTCTTGAAGGCATCCCAGTCGATCGTAAATATGCGCAGCTCGTAAAATGCACACCACGCTTTGTTCATCAGCAACAGCAACGAGATGTGAACAATCACTTTTCTTGGGACAAGTGTGAGGTGCTGGAGGTGCATGGTTGGCTGCAAAGATCCCGGGGAACATGGTGTCGTTCCTGCTGGGAGCGGGCCTTGCAATCTGAGGCCGAGTTCGGGGCAGGGCGCCCGGGTGCTGAGTCCCCCGCGCCTCGGACAGCAGGCGCAGGTGTGGGCTACCTTGCTGCTGCTTGGTAGGGACTGCTGGGGCCGCGGCAGGATTTGCTCTAAGGCCTTTCGTGGCAGAGCTGGGTGGTTGGGCTGTGGTGCTGGGGGCGGGGGGCGGGTGTAGGCCTGCAGGTCGGGTCTGGTTCCGGATCCTGGACCCCTAACCCGGGCCTCCCCACCTTGCCGCTGCTTCCCGCTCTGGTGTGCGTGCGGGCGTGAGGCCTTCTTGCATCCTCCCTCCAGACCCCGCCTGAGCCGGCCCCTGGGCCCCGGGCCGTTTGCTTGGCCCTGGAGGGTCGGCACCATCTTTGAGCCTCCCTGCTCAGTGCTGCCTCTGCCCAGGGGGGCCAGGCTGGCCTCCAGCTTCCTCTCGCAGGTGGGGGTGGGCCGCTGAGTCCCCTCCCACAGTGGGCTCTGAAGCGCCCCCTGGGTAGGCAGGCAGCGCTTCCTTCTAACCTCAGCTGCTTCTAATATCAAAGCTGTTAACCTGCACCTCTTGCTCGGGCAGGAGCCTTTGGCCTAGAGCAATAACGAGTTTCGTTTCTTGTTTCTTCGTCAAGCTCGGGAGCGCTTCTGGTCACCCCTCCCCAAACGCCCAGCTCCTGAGCAGTACTTGGCTGGATAGGGAGGGGGCCCCACCACACCCCTCCACGCGGCGAGCGACAAACCTGGCGTCGTCGGTCGTTGGTGCCTGCGTCCCGGTGCAGAAGTCGCGTCCAGGCGAAGGAACGACGGGCCGGGCCCTGGGCACTGGGAAGCAGCACCCAGCAGGCCGCCCACAGCGCAGACAGCTCCCCGGGCCTCAAGGCGCGGCCCCAGACCAGCCGCAGGCTTGACCCCGGAAACCTTAGAAATGCTGACCCTTGGCCCCGCCCAGACCTCCCCGCCCAGAGACCCAGGAGGGCGCTGGCAGGCCCGGGTCCAGCCAGCCTCCAGGCCACTCCACACGGCAATTGGCTCGGCTGTCTAGCCCAATCCTTGCCACACCTTCCCACCCTTAAAGACCCCCAAGGGACCCTGGAGATGGGCGGGGCAGGGGTGGCGATACCCGGTGGCACAGGGTGAGGCGCCCCCTCCGAGAGCTGGCCTCCCAGACACTCTTGGAATGTTCTAGCTTAGTCACTGCTCCCAGGTTCTCACCTGGCACCTCCTTTCTCTCTGGGGAACCCAGCAGACAACACCCAAAGCAGGAGAGAGGGCGTCACAGGAGGAAGAAAAAACCTAAAATGGAAGGAAAACGAAGGAGACAAAGCAACAGGTCCACACGGGGAGACAGACAAGTCAGGAAGCGATTTTAATCTGGTGACACAGACGACATACAGGAGGGGCAGGGGCCGGGCATGCGACGGGGGCCCCCCACACCGGCGGCAGGGTCTGCCGCTGCCGAGACGCACACCAGCCCACGAGACAGGACGCACCCCAAGAGGCCCGCAGGGGCGGGAAAGGCAGATCAGGCGCCTCCCCAGCAGACACTGCCTTCTTTTTCCTTTTGGGTTAAGAGTTGCCCTAATTTCTTCCCAAAGCTGCGCGTGCCACGTGGGGGCATCACATGCAGACGGCTGTGCGGGTCCCTCACTCTGCTGTTACGCCCTTGTCTGCTCCCCAAGACGCCCTGGAGGGGGCAGGCTGAGCGAACCTGGCTCCCGCCTGCCCGGAGGAGAAACTGAGTCCCAACACACAGAAGTGACCCGCCCCGAGCCGGGGAGAAGCTGGCCAGTCAGATGGGCCCGGGGTCTCCCTGGCGTTAGAGGGCCCAGGAGAGCGGGCACGGGCAGGCAGGGGTGGGGGGTGGGCGGTGGGGACCTACTTGTACCCCCGGGAGTGGACAGTCTGAGCCTAGATCCAAGACAGAAGATGGGACCAGCTGTTTATTCAACAAAAGCCTTTTATTCATTCAAAAATCAACCATTGGGTTTATTCCGCAGATATTAAAAAAGGGGTGAGGGGCAAGACTTCCTATCACAGTGCCCTTATGCTAATTAACTTGCTAGCCCTGGGGGAGACCTAGAAGAGGGGCACCCGGGAGACATACTGACATTAATGTGGGGCAGAGGCCTGGGTGAAATCGGGGCGCCCCCCTCCGGGGCCCACCTGCACCTGGCTTCCCCCAAGTGCACTGTGACCTCTTCCGCCCCAGGATGCCTTTGCAGCTCACCACCACCAGGGGGCGCGCTGTGCTGCCGTGGCGCCCAGGCTCTCGGCTGGGAACCAGGTAGCTTTCCACTTGGGGCAGGGAGGCGCTCTCCAGGGAGAGGCTGCTCCCCTAGGGGCCTGGGCACCCAACCTCCTCCCGCCCCCCAGAGAAGAGAGGATGTCCCTGCAAGCCTAGACGCGTGTATGATATAAGAAGTTGGCTGTCAAACCGCAAAGCCTTCCAGGAGAAGAGGTCACGCCTGCGTCACTCTGAATGGTGTCTGGTTAAATACTGGAGACTCCTGACATTCTCCTAGGTCCCGTCAACACGGAGTGGAGAGCACGGGAAGAGGCCAGCGCCACTGCAGACGGCCCGAAGCTGGACCTCCTCCTGGGCCCAGGCAGCGAGAATGTGCAGAGGGGCTAAGGCCTGGCTTCTGGGGGGTCTGCAAGCCCTCAAGAGAGCCGATCTGATCGGCAGGGTTCCAGGGGGCACAGGGCTGGGGAGCAAGGCCCACGCCGCTCAGACCCCGAGGCTGCGCAGCGAGAGACCCGGGGACAGCAGGAGACAGAGCTGCCCCTGCCCAGCAACCTCGGGCACACGCGGCCAGTGTCCAGCACCCTGCCAGGAAGAAGGGCCCCTGCTGGCAGCCTTGGGTGACCCAGGCACTGGTCAAAGGTGTGTCTGAGGCTTGGGCCAGTGTGTCAGCTGCTAAGGCCAAAGGCCACAGCCCTGGATCCAAACCGAAAGGCGGAAGGGCAAGGAGGCAGGGGGAAGGCGCTGCACACAGACCTCCGCAGGCGTTGGAATGGCTGCGCCCGCATGCTTAGCCCTGGGCACTCCTCAGCCGCGAGTCCCCTCCCTGTCCCCACAGGCCTGCATGGCTCCAAGTCCCCAGAAGTAAAATCTGCACAGGCAGAGGCTAGAGAAGGGACTGGGGAGGCCCCACCTGCTCCCCGCTACCCAAGTGGTCAAGTTCATCTCCCTCCTGGGGGTCCTGGGTCAGGGCCAGGCGGAGGAGCCACAGGATCTGGTGGGCAGCAGCCTGAGCAGGAAGCTGTCAGAGCCCACCCTTCCGAGTCACCTATGAAAATGGGCCTGCTCCCCGTCCACAGAATCCGGCGGGTGGAGGGGGGGGCTTGCAGCAGAGGCAGAGCGCAGCCAAAGTCTCTGCAGTGCAAGAAGAGGGAGCCGGATGGGGGTGGCCGAGCACTGCAGCCCGCGGGAATGACACGACCCCTGGGGCAGAGCTGCTCTCTGGTGGAGGGTCTGTGGGGTGGGGGCTCGTTAACAGGCACCCCTGCCTCCTGGGGAAGTGCAAAGTGGAGGTCAAGGGCAATGCAAGCAGGACCCAGGGCCAGCTCTCCTCTCCTAGGGACCAGGGGGAGATGCCAGGCTGCTGAATTTACAGAGAAAGCAGGGATTCTAGACACAGGTGTGACCCTGGACAACCTGGGGGGGCTGCTCCCCATCACAGAAGCCTTCCCAAGGGTGGACTAGTGCTGGGCCAAAAAGACAGCTCAAGAGTCCAGGAGGGACCAGGGGGCACCGCAGGGAGGGCCAAGGTGTCATCTACATACCACCAGCTGGGGTTCAGTGTCCCTGAAGGCCCGTGCGGGGGAAGAGGGGTGACTTGGGCCCCTTGGCAGTGAGGGTCTGGCAGACTTGGTCACAGAAGCACAAGCTGCAGCAGACCCAGCATGTTAGAGGCCTTCTGATACAGCCAGCGGGTCCCGGCCCAGCCTCAAGGGTAGCTGGGCCTGGAAGGCAGGGGGTGCCCACACCCCAAAGCAAAGCCTGGGCCTTCCTGGTGGAGGTTCTGTCTCAGGCAGACAGAGCTAGAAGCTTGGGGTGGGGACTGCCCCAGAAGCTGCCTCTACCAGCAGCTAAGACAGAGATGGGGCAGAAGGTGGCTGTGTTGTCCACGGGACGGGCAGACAGAAGGCAGGAGAGCAGAGGGCAGGAGACCCAGCGGCTGTTTTCAAAACCCCCCCAGGAGAGAAGTGGCCTGGCCCTCTGCTCACGTGCTTGCAGAGACACCCCTTCCCTTGCCCTTTGCTACTGTAACCAGCCCCCCGTCCTGGCTCCTGGCCACAGGACAAGCCTCTGCAAACTTCATGCTGTGGAAAACACCAAAGCCAGCGCCGAGGGACAGAAAGAGGTGCCCTGTCTGTCCTCGGGGAAGATGCTGTGGGCGCGGGGGCGGGCACAGGGCGGGAGCAGAGAGAAGGGGTTCAAGGTGGAGGCATTCGGGCTGGAGGGAACAGTGCATCAGCCATTTAAGAAACCCACCTTCCCCTCTCCAACATCAAGCATGGCATCTGGAAAGAAAACAAAAAACACAAAAAAAGAAGTTTTTTGGCTTCTTGGCCACTGCAGGCCACCATCCTCCCAAGCGCGGGCAGGTGGGTGAAGGCGTGCACATGTAAACGGTGGGCCCCGCATCCCTGGGAGCTGAGGACACACGAGGCAGCAGCAATAGTTAACAACCAATAAATAAGATATCAATTACATATGTATAAAAAAAAACCTCACTTTCCCCACAAAAAGCACAATACTGTTATCACAAAAAAAATCATCCATCAGAATTAATCATCCTAGCCACGCAGGTGGTTTTGCTGCTAAGACGACGAATAGTGTTGATCATTATTTGGGGCTCCCCAGACACCCCAGCCCACCCGCACCTGAGGCCGTGACTTCCCGTGGCCTCTCTGGCTACCGAAGGACGAGGCAGAGTTCTCGGGACCCGGACCCGAGGCCTTCTCCCCATCTGTCAGTCCATATCTTTAGGACAGAAGGTAGTTGGTTTTTTTTTTTTCCGTTTACAATGTCTGTTTGAAATAAAAAAAACAAAAGCACGCGCGCGAGAGCGGGAGGAACGCCTGCCGGGGCAGCAAGTCCTTGGCTGTGCAGGGCTGGAGCCGCTCCCTTCCCAGTGGCGCTTTCCGCGCAAGCAGAGGTGGTTGGCGATTGGAGCCGGTGGCTTCAGGCGGCATGGGGTGCAGGGCAGGGGCGAGGAGGGCCAGACCGCACAGCTGGAGGGCTGCCCGGCGGGGTGTGGAGGGTGAGGGAGGCCGGTGGACACAGGAGGGCGGTGTCCCTTGAGGAGGTGGTCTCAAGGCAGGGAGGAGGTGAGAGGTTCCCAGGTATCTGGAAGACACAGGGATGGGCCGGTTAGGAGCTGGCGGGGCACAGGGCCAGGGGGCACTATGAGCAGAGCTCCTGGACAGGCACTCAGACTCTCATGTACCCACTTAGCACTTTAGTATTTAATTTTAAGGGAGACTTGCTACTCAGAAAATAAGAAGGGAGGGGGCAACTTTGGTGTCCAGGATCGGGGGACTGGTTGAATAAATTAGGATGGATTCAGAGGATTAAAAACCTGGAGGCCATCAAAAACAATGCAAGGAATGGCCCATAAGCACGCGGGCCCAGGCTCCACAGCACCAGCCGCTAGGGAAATGCACATCAGGCCCACGATGCACGTTGGATCCACGAGTCACACCTGCTCGGATGGCCACAGTAAATATCCGGAAGATAGTAAGTGTTGGTGAGGGGATGGAGAACCTGGAGCCCTTTCCACAGCCCACAAGAAGGTCAAAGGGGGGCTTCCCCTGGCGGCACAGCGGTTGAGCGCTGGGATACGAGGCTGCCTGCAGCCTCTGCAGCGCCGGTTCGATCCTCAGCCACCAGCAGGGGTCCCACATGGCACACAGACCTCTCCTGCCGCCCGCTGCTCCCCTTAGCAGAGTATTCCGTCAGTCTGCCTGTTCTGTTTCCCGCTCTGGCTCTGGTGAATTCTCTCACCCTCCCGCGCTTCTGACTGTACCCAGTGCTTGTATAAATAAATAATCTTTAAAATAAAAAAAAAAGGTCAAAGGGTACAGCTGCCGTGGAAAACAGGTAGCTCCTCAAAAAGTCACACGTACAGTTATGCCATGACCCAGCAAGACTCCCTCAGCGACGTTCAGGGCCATGAGGGGCCTCTGTGCCAGGTGGTCCCAACAGGTTGTGGCATGGAGCCCAGGAGAGGTGGGGGGGGGGCTGTAGCACCTGGTAATTACACTCAGTGACCATCACACAGCGAGGAAATGACCTGACAGTTTCAGATTGGATCCTGTCATCACTGCTTCAGTCTACTTTGATTAATGGGTGTATAAAGGGATCAGATGTCTTGAATTTGCTTCACAATAACCTGGTGAGGTGGCTGTGGGGGAGGGCACAGATGGTACAAGATGGGCTGTGAATTGCTGGTTGTGAACCTGGGAAAGGGGCCTGGAGCTAATACTAGTCTCTCTACCAGAGCCTGTGAATAGGAAGATTTCCTTTTTATAACCCGCTCCAAAATTTCCAGCAACCTAAGTGTCTCCTGGTTAAGCTATGGCCCAGCCCTATGACGGAATACTATGCAGTTGATAAAAAGGATGGCCTCAAACAACATTTACTGCTGTAGGAAACAGGCACAATCTCAGTTCCCCGAATGATTCCGTGAATTACAGAACGGTAGTTTACCTAAGATTAATAATGCATCAGGAGTCTGAAAAGGCAACCACATCACAAAGATGATGGAACAGAAACTGGATGTGGACACTATCGAGTGCCTACCAGGAAAAGTCTGGGGAAAGGAAGGAGATGGTCAGAAGAGCTACGGAAAGATGGATCTGGTCACTCTGAAAAGCAGATCAGGAAATAAGGCCACACTTTCCCAGCTGCCGCGGGGCTGGTGAGGGGGCTCTACATGCCCGCACGGGTCGTTTTTAGTAACGTCAGTGTGGACGCAACGGGATATGAACATTAGAACAGCAAAACACATGAAAAGCCTCTTTTCTGAGTATCGAATCTCCAAAAGAAAAAAAAAATCAACATTTCCTGTAAGTTATTCATTAGGAAAAACACAACAGGAAACAACATATGCTCACAAACTCATACAGCAGAGGAAATAGATACATACAGATTAATAGAAAATGGTGAGAGGAAAACAAATAGGGTGATTCAAGATTTTTCCCGTGCTTAAAAGAGAGTAATTACACCACGTGACTTTTTCTTGTGAGGGTGTACCCGAATCTGGGTTTGCCCCAATTTTCCCCACGACCCGGAGGAGACAAAGCAGCATGCCATGTGACAGCTGCCACTGAGGCCATGAGAAATAATCCACAAAAGGGGCTGAGAAATCAGACCATGGACCAGCGTGCGCACAATGTCCACAGTGATTACGCTTGGGTTATAGATAAGGTTGTTGCTTTTGTTTTCATTTTTTTTAAAGATTTATTTATTTATTTATACAAGCACTGGGTACAGTCAGAAGCGAGGGATGGCAAGAGAATTCACCAGAGCCAGAGCGGGGAACAGAACAGGCAGACTGTCGAAGTACACTGCTGAGGGGAGCAGCGGGCGCAGCAGGAGAGGTCTGTGCGCCATGTGGGACCCTCGCCGGCGGCCGTGGATGGAACCGGCACTGCAGAGGCTGCGGGCAGCTTCTCAGCCCAGTACTCAACCGCTGCGCCACCGGGGGAAGCCCAAGGTGTTATTTTTTTAAATAAATGTTTCATGAGGTTTTCCTTCTCAACATATTTTCACTGTCTCTTCCATGAAAAAGGATTTCCTGTGCAAAATAACAATAAGAGAAGGGCCTCCCTGGTGGCACAGGGGTTAAAGTCTCAATGCTATCAAGCTATCACCAGCCACTGCGGCCTGAGTTCAATCCCCAGCCAGGGAGCTGCCCACATGGCATAGCAGGCCTCTCCTGTCTCACCCGCTGCTCCCCTCAGCAGTGTATTTCAGTAGATCTGCCTGTTCTGCTCCCCACTCTGTCTCTGGTGAATCCTCCCCCCACTTCCCACACCCAGCTCTTATATGCATAAATAAAAGAAAAATAAAAAAAAAAAGAAATGCAAGCTGAAATGACAACACGTGGTCATTACACATCTGCCAAGGCCACTCTGCCGATGCCGACGCCAACAAGGACACGGGCGTCCTCCCATGCACACTCGGGGAGCCTGGAACGGTGTGGCCCTTGGAAGGGCTGATCAATACTATCTACGAAAGGTGAATAGAAGCAGGACTCACACGGCCACAGGGCAGGCCTCCTGTCCACCAGGACACACGCAGGGCGTTTACGGCTACAAGGGTCCTCGGGGCCTCACGCCCATCCCTCCCAGCCCGCGCAGGGGACACAAGAGGGAAGAGGCAGAAGAGGAAGGACAGTGGAGAAGGCAAAAAGGAAGACAGCTCCCTGCTGGCCAGAGGGGCCGCTGCCAGCTGCTCTCCGTAGTGGGGCAGAAAGACTCCGCGTTTGAGCTACTGCTAAGAGCACCAGGCCTCAGGCCTCCCACGGCCATTCAGAGAAGGAAGGAGAAGGCCCCTCCCGGCCCCTCTCCTCAGTCCAGGGAAGCGTCTATTCAAATTTCAGGCTGAACCTGAGGGATATAAAAATGACAAAAACTGAGGGGCTCTGGCTGTTGAGAAGGTCGCCCTTCCCAGCTCTGCCAGCACCAGGCAGACCTCAGATCCCCCTGGGAAAGTCTGAGCCTTAGGCCAAGCCTAGGTGTCCTGGGGCTGATTTCCCCGTCCCGTCCCCCAGCCCGCGTGCCCTGACACCCCAGCACAGGCCAACGTGCCCACACGCCCCCCGGCCCGCCCCCGCCCGCGTGCCCCACTCACCGGGCACGGCCGGGACTATACCAGCCCGTCATAGAGGGACAACGCCTGCACGATGGAGGGGTCCGCCTTGGAGCCTTCCTGGAACTCCTGCAGCGTGAGCTTCCCGTCGGCGTTCTGCAAGCAGAGAAGGGCGGCTGAGGCGGAGGCACAGCCGGTCCCCTGGGCTGGGGGTCTCGGGCTTCTCCAGGCCCAGGGCTGGTCCCAAGGGTGCTTCCTTGATTGTCAGGGGAAGGGACGCAGCTGGCAGGAAAGCTGCTTGGGGCAGAGCCGGACACTCCGGGCTGGGTGACCTTGGGCATGTGACCCACCTCCCTATGCCGGGTCCCTCCTCTGGGGACTGGGGGTTGCTGCCTGGCTTCCCTCGGGCACCAGGCTGCGCACCCCTGAGCGCAAGCTGTGGAGAGAGCTCTGCAGCGTGCCATCCATGGGCCACCGCTGTCACCACTAATTCCCCTAAGTGTGCTAATCCCAAGGGCTACGGCCCGACAGCCTGGCTCACGCTTGGAAGGCATTAGCTGTTCCTGGAGCAGGTCTACCAGGGAGGCCGAAGGAAGCGGGTGCAGCTCAAACAGAGGGACTTGGGCCAGGCCCTGTGGGTTGGGGGGCGAGGGGGGTGGAGTTGGGCAGAATCCCAGCCCTGGGGGTATCATTTCTCAAGGAGGCTGAGAAAGGAAAAGGCCTCAGGGACCACCCATGGGGGGCCTCGCACAGCTGCCCTAAGAGGGTGCAGCTGTCACCTCACTTTACCAGGGAGGAAACTGCAGCCCAGTCAGCTACACGGGGTTCCAGGGGGCGAGGGGAACCAGAAGCTACACCCAGACTGGTCCCGGAGGAGCCTTTGTTTCCAAAATAAGGGAGGTAGAAGCTGAGGTGCGGGGGATTGAGAAGGGTGGCCTTGGCAGCGCTGAATCGATTCAATAACAGAGCGTCACCCCGGGAGGAGGCTGCAGGCTTTGCCTCCCGCTCTCGACACATCTTTTGATTGTTACCAGGAGACCAGCAGCCGGGCCTCCCTGACATGCGCTCAGCTCTCTTTGTAATTAACCAAGCACAGGCTTCAAGTTCAAAGCTTTCAGAGCAGCTGCTCATCCCGACAGAATGTAAGATCAGCCTCGGTCACGGCGACACGCACGCCACACAGCTTCCCCCACCTCCCAGCGCAGCCCATTTGAAACAAAGTTACTTGGATTATAAAAAAATAAATAATTGGGGTGAAAAGAGCGGGTTCTGGGCCTGGGGTCGGTGCATGGAATTCAGCGGGCCCGGGAACTCGGATGGGGAAAATGAGGTCTTTCTTTTCGCCGACTTCTAATTGGAACTGAGCTTTTCTATCCCTGGTGAACCGAGGTGGAGGCGCCTAACGGAACCAGCAGCACCTGTGACTGTGTCAAGCGCACACAGTTGTCATGACAACCTCCCGGGCCTGCTGTGGGCATCACCCCACTCGGCCCCACTTCCAGCCACGGCTCTCAGACCCACTGCCACGTCCACAGTTCACGTCACAAAGCAGCCCCCAGCCCCACATCACAAATGCGCCGCTGGGTGCCTGGGGGTGGGGTGACATCCATCTGGGAACCTGCACCCCTAAATCACAGTCAGTGTTGTGAACCAATGTGACCTCAATTTTAAAAACAAGGTGTTGGGAAACTCAGATAAAACTGTGATGTCCACGAGGATGGCTGCCGCGGGGCACGTCACACCAGGCCCACTGGGGCGCCCCCACCCCTCACCGCCCCGGTCCCAGGTCCAGCCTCGCCCCTGCCGCACCTTGTCCATCATGGCGAAGATCCTGTCCACCCGCTTCTCAGGGGTGTTCTCCTCCTCGGGGAGCTCCACGGTGTTCCCCTGCCGGGGACAGGCAGGTGGGGCCAGGCTACGGCACGCTGGTCCGGGGGTTCGCGGGCTGAATTTTGCTCCCCCGGCCGATGCTGATTCAGATGTGGCCCACCTCTCCCTCCCACACCCCACAACACCAGCTTGGCCACTCGGCTCTGGAACACCCCACCCGGCCCCAGCCCCAGGCGACCCAAGCAGTCGCCCGGAAAGGACAGCGGCCACGCACGGTGCTCCCTCCGGGCCATGTCCGCCGTCTACTGGGGACGCCCCAGGCCTCACCACCATCTGGTAAATGGCGTCCACAATGTCCAGCATCTCGTTCCTGGTGATGTAGCCGTCGTTGTCCAGGTCATAGAGCTTGAAGGCCCCTGCGGTCAAGCAGCCAGGGCGAGTGACCCTGAGCCCAGGGCAGAAGCCCCCCGCGTCCCTCCCCCCTGCACCTCCGCACACCCCCGGTGACCCACAGCCCCGTTCCTCATGCAGCCAGGAGTAGCTCCATCAGGGACGCACACACTTGCAACAGGGTCAGAAGCAAAGACACTCAGAGGAGGGGCGCTGGGTCTGTACCGGAGGCCTGGGGGCTGGAGGCCAGCGGGGACGGGCTGGGCCAGGAGGGGTCCCCTTGCTCCCCACCAGCCAGCCTCCGCCCCTGCCCCCGCACCACCCTGGGTCCCACTATGGTCAACTCAGACAATAAAAGAACATGCTCAGGGAGAAGGAAAGAAAGCTTTTATCTGAATAAAACCCTCTTTCGGTTTGAAAAAGAAAAAAGAAAATGCAGGGCAGGGCTCCCTTGGGGAGCTGGGGCCCCCCATTACCATCTCCCCTGCGGGCTCCCTTTCTCACCCTGTCCCGTGACCCCCACATGATGCGCGGGCTCCCCTCTGACTCTCTCCCGCCCCTGGGGCCTCACGTGCTGCTCCCCAGCCTGGACACGCTTCCCTCCCGCCTCCCCGCCCGGCCCAGCCCAGCTCTTTCCTACCGGGGTCAGCCTCTCTCCTGCCGCTCACACCAGCCTCTTCCTGCCTGCCTGGGCTGCGTTGGGGGGCATCTTTTGAATAATGCCCCCCCCAAGGGCAGACAGCCAGGAGAGCCAGGGCCTGTCCATCTGAGTCACTGTGGACGCAGCCTCCGGCCCGGCACTGATGACAGGTGGGTGAGCGAGCGAGTGAGTAATGGCCCAGTCACCCAACCAGTGGGCGCCAGTAGTGGCCCGGGGTTGGATGTAAGTCTCTTAGCCCATGCACACTGCCCACACGCCCAGCCCTGCGCCTGCCTGAAAACCACCTCTGCTCCTGCCCCTGTCCACCCACCTAAGTGGCCTGGCTCCTCCCGCTCAGCCGCCTCCGTGCTCCCGGGGCTGGACGGCTGTGTCCCTCTCAGCCCGCACAGAAAGCCTGGCCCAGCTGTGTGGCCACAGGAGCTCACCAGGCAGCACCTGCCCCAGCAGCTCCGGCTGACACCTGCCAGGTGACACCTGCCTGGCGGGGCTGGGGCTGCCTCCCTTCAGCCTGACGCTGCCCAGCACCCCAAGGCACCCATGGGGGACTCACACCGCAGCTTCTCATCCAGGGTCCCCCTCGAGGTGACCGACAGCGCCTGGATGAACTCGGAGAACTCGATCCGCCCGTCCTGACAGGAGACAGAGGCAGGGAGGCGGGGTCAGCGCCGGGCCACCTGTGCAGACTGGACCTCGGCAGTGGGGGCAGCGGCACCCGTGGCCACACACCCACGGCCGACGGGCACTCAGGGGTGAGGGCGGGAGCAAAGGACGGTGGGGAGAGGTGCTAGGAGGGGGCAGGTCAGGCAGGAGAGACAGGGAGGCAGGTGAGGCCAAGGGAGACTCAAGACTCCACACCCGTGAAGGGACAGATGACACCACCGCCGAGCTCCGGTCCGGGCAGGAAAGAGCCCCAGAGACCCTTCCTTCCTCCCTGACCTGGAGCCACAGGCGCAGGCTTGTGAGGAGGGCAGGGGCTCTAAAGACGGTCTCAAATTTCCTCATTAGTTTTGCAAATGAGGAAACAGGCCTGAGAGGCCTTGGCTCTTTCCGCCCACAGGGCCGGTCAGCCTGGGGTCCTGGGGGCAAAGCCAGTGGACAGCCTGGGACGTGGCGCCAAGGTCAATAAGCCCTGAACGGTGCACCACCAAGTGCCGGGGCAGCCGTGGACAGGGCCACCTGGACAGGCCTCAGAAGCCTGATGCTCAGTGTTAGAAGCCAGGCTCAAAGGACTGAACCCCCTGAAACTCAGTTTCCCCATGTGCAAGACAGGGCTTGGAAGGACACACCCGCAGGGACTTGCACGGCCTCACTGAAAACAGTCCCGTAGAGGGGGCGCTTGGTGAGCAGCCAGGGACAATCCTGACGTCACCCCCGGGGCACCTGTGTTCTGTGCTTACAGGAAAAGGCCACAGCGTGTGTGTGCACACGTGTGCGTGTGCGTATGTGCAGGCATGCGTCTCTGCCGGCCAGGTGTGAGTCTAGGCACTGGATACACGTGTGTGACTGTGGCGATGTGCACGTGTGTTTCAGAAGGTACATGTCACACGCACGCCTGTGAGTGTGCGAGCGCGTGCACGCGTGTGCGTGCTCCCTCCCAGCAGGGAACAGCAGCAGGAGGGAGTGGGTGTGGAGACGCTCGGGTGCCCGCGGGAGCTGAGCGCACAGCTGCCGGGGTGGGGGTGGGGTACACCAGCGAGCCCCCTCCATTCCCCCGCTCACCTTGTTTTCATCAAAGACGTTGAAAACAAAGGTGGCAAATTTGGTGGGGTCTCCAAACGGGAAGAACTGCTTGTAGATCTTCTGGAAGCCGGCTGCGTCCAGCTGCCCACTGGGGCAATCCTTGATGAAGCCTTTGTACCTGACGGGAATGGACCGGGCGATGAGGATTCAGGAGGCGCCACAGCAGCCACCTGTCAGGGGACCCTGCTCGCTGCCCCCGAATCCTGGAGGCCTGACCCGAGAGTGCCTCACGGGGTCACAGCGTAGACCTGGAATCACAGGCCTGGACCCATGTCAACTCGCCCCCACCAGCTGCGTGACCTCGGACAGGTGACCTTGGACAGGTGACGGCCCCTCCAAACCTCATCTGCATAAGGAGGATAAGCGTCGCCATGGGAACCAATCCAGAGCCCGCGCCTGGGGCCTTGGTGATCAGTCTGTGCTCCACACGGGGGTCGAAAACTGATGGGAACAGCCTGCCTGAACAAGGGCTTCTGCACGAGACACCCCGCCTCCCCATCTCCACTCAGCCCCCTGCACTACGTTGCCAAGAGGGCTGGGGGTGCTGGTGGCAACGGTGGGCAGAGCCACCATATGGGGCTGGCAGCTGGCTCCTCCCACAGGCCCGCACCCACCCCCATCTGCACCCCCAGCCCCGGTTCCCAGGGAGGTGTGTGCAGACCTGGAGCGGTACAAGATGGGGTGGGGGACCTTGGCTGCACCTCACCTGCACTCCCCGTGCCCGGCCAGGGCCCTGCAGATGCCTGGGGGCTGGTGGCAATGCAGCCTCGCAGTTCAAATCCCAGCCCGTGCCTGTGCGCTGGGCAACCCCAGACAAGCACCCTCATCTCTCCAAGCCAGGCTCATCCTCTCTAAAAGGGGAGCACTCCCCACCCCCCGAGTCAGAGTCAGGGGAGATGCTGGCGCCACACACTCGGCACGGGCTGGCTGAGAAGCCACGAGAACACGAGCTGCGCCCGGCAGGCTGAGGTGTGCGGCACCATCCCTGTGCCCAGTGAGGGGGTCTCAAGCACCCCTTTCCCTTCCCCCAATATGCCCCTCGGTTCCCTCGGGTGTGTAAGTGGTATGGACCAGCCCAAGGTTCCAACCCCGGGCAGTGTGGACACCGGGCTGCGTGACTCTCCACGGGGCCCTGTTCCGTCTAGGCTCAGGTAGCAGCACCGAGCTGAGCCTTCGTGGACGGGCCCTGCCCCGGCTGCGGCAGCCTCGGGTTAGGGCACCCGTGACCCCGGCTGCCCCTCTGCGGCCCTCCTCAGCGCCTCCTCGCTGGGTGCTGGGGGCACGTGTCCTCACAGCAGGGCCAGGGCGCTCAGCCAAGGAGCAGGAGCACTTGGGTGCGTGAGCTCAGGCCCCGGGCCAGTGTGGTCCTGGGCAAGAGGGGCGTGGGGCTGGCTGCAGGGCTCAGTGGCTGTGCGGAGGCCTGTCCCGCAGTCCCCGCCCTGGACGCTGCCAGAGGAGCCTCAGGCCCACGCCCCTGCCCACTCATTTCTCCACTGTGGATTCTCAAAGATCACAAACAATAAGAAGGAGTAAACAAAAGGCCTCCGGTGGGGTGCGGTGGAGAGCTGCCAGCCCTGAGCACAGCCATGTGGGCCCCAGCGTGGGCCCTGCAGCCTTGGGGGGGCGCGTGGGAAGGCACAGCGGGAACCTTCAGGGGGGCCTGCCCAGTTACCCCCTAGAGCCTGTCACTATGGGATCTCAGCCTCCTCCTGCCGACCCCCCACCCCACTGCCAATAGCCCACGCCCAGCCACACATTCTAGAACCTGCCAGGCCTCTGCCAGTGAGGTACCTGGCTGATCCATTCATTACCAGGCACCCCAATGGCACGTCCTCCAGAAAGCAGCTCCAGGCCCACCCTTCCCCCGGGCCCTGTGACTTCTGTACACACTCGCCCCCACGTCCCCAGCACGGCACGGACCGTGGAGAGAAAGTCCAAAGTCTGGTCTCTTCTCCCGGGCCCCAAGGACCCTGGCCAGGGCCTGAGGCTCCCCGTGGGTAGCTGGGGAACCGCGGATGGGTCCCACCTGCCTGGGGCACTGATGAGGGGTGGGGCCCAGAGAGGGAGAGACTGGCCAAGGTCACCCAGTCAGCTCCAAGCAGAGACAGGGCTCAGCCCCAGCGCTCCTGCCTCCCAGGTCCCCGCCGCAGCCCCTCCAGCAAGCCGCCCTGCCTCCGCCCCCACAGACACGCATGGTAACACGGCGGCCACCCGAACACTGCATCACCCCATGGGCCATCAGGAGGGGGCCACCCTGCCTCCGTGGAGCAGAGAGGGCGAGGTCTGAACGGCCCCAGACACCCCAGTGGTCCCCAGACCCCCAGCTCGCTGCTGTCCAGGGTCAGGACTTCATGTGCGGTCAGTCCTGCGGGGTGGCCCGTGTCCCCACAGCTGGCTGAGCGGGGACACCTGCACGGACACCCCCAGGCACACGCCCTGCCCCCATCCTCATGGCGAAGTTCACACCAGGAGGAGTGAGACACGGACCCCCCCCCACCCCACCTCGCCCTGGCAGGGCCTCTCCCAGCCCCTCCTTCTCACCTCCAGACTTGCTGTCGCCAGGAAGCAGCCTGGCGCTATGCCCGCGATGTGGGCATTGTGCCCCAGTCCTGTGCCCAGTGAGGGGGTCTCAAGCACCCCTTTCCCTTCCCCCCATATGCCCCTCGGTTCCCTCGGGTGTGGTAAGTGGCACAGACCAGCGCAGGGTTCCAACCCCGGGCAGTGTGGACACCGGGCTGGGGGACTCTCCACGGGGCCCTGTTCCGCATACGCTCGGTGAGCAGCACCCCAGGCTCCACTTGCTAGATGCCTGTGGCTCCGTGTCCCCCAAACACGGCCAAATATCTGCCCAGCTGCGGCAGCCTCGGGGACACCTGTGTCCCCCAGGAGACTCTGGGCACCGTGAGCCCTCAGTCTCCGCTGCCCTCAGCGCCCAGCACTGGGCAGGCGCACAGTAGGTACTCAGAAGAGACTGAACAAATGTGGCGCGTACGTGCGTGAGGGACGCCCACTCGCCAAGCAGCTGCAATGTGCAAAATCCCACTCGGCTTCCACCCTCCGAGGGCCCAGAGCCAGCCCAGCGCTGCCCTCGGTGCCCCAGAGGGCCGGCCCGGAGGGTTTTCCAGAACGCAGTGCTACGGGTTCCCACGGAACCAACCCTGGGACCCTGCGTGAAGCGGGCCCTGCGTCGTCTCCACCGACTCCCTCGGTGCCAAGGGTTAAGGGCCGCCGCGGCTTCTTCTGCAGCATGAAAGGTGGAAAATAAATAGACGGAGAAATAATAAAGCACAACCCCAGCTGCAATCACACACGCAGCTGGGCCGCGGCAGCCTTGGCATCATCGCCCCATTATCTTTTCAAACAACTCCCTCCGCGTGGCAGTCCCCTCCCAGAGCTCCCCGAGGCCTGACTTCAGAGCATCCTGGAGGAGGGTCCCAGCACGTCGGAGAGGACAAAGCCAAGTCCTGTTCCCTCCGCGCTTCCCCCACCGCCACGGCCTTCAGCTTCGTGGGGTTTCCCGGACCAGGAGCCCGCAGGCCTGAGCTGGGGCCTCGGAGACACGGCGGCCCCGAGCCTCAGTCTCGTCCGTCACCTGTAAGATGGGGCCGCTCTGTGTGGGCCTCACAACTGTGCCAGCCCGCGGGGTGGGGCGGGGCGAGGCCGCCTCCTGACCAGCCCCGTCCTCACCCGGCAGCAGCGGCGGGGAGGGCCCCGGGTTGACAGCGGCCCCGGCAAGGCGCCTGCATAGCCCCTGTGACACCACGATTTTGTGCCAACACTGCTGGGTTATTTGGTTACAGCAAAGGAAGAAAAGCATTTCAGAAAACTTGGAGAAACAGAGACTGGAAGGGGAAAAAAAACCCCGCTACCCACAATGCCACACACCAGCCCCAGCTCTGTCTGGCCCCCCCCCACCCCCACCCCCGCTTTGTTTATGTCCTGGGAGGGGGCTGAGCTCCCTGGGGGTCAGGTCCCCTTTGTTCTCATGCCTTCAGGGGCTGGGACCTGCTGCGGCTCATGAACCAGCCCCACTGTGGGCACCAGCCTTCCCTTGCCGTGCAGAACTGAGCCTGTCAAGAGCCAGGGCCGGGGCCACTGCACACCCACACCGGCCCCCCCTCTCCAAGCCTCCAGGCTCCCCACTCTGCCAAATACAGACAAGCGCCCGCGGCCCAGGGCCGCCTGCAGCTCAGACCGTGCTGCGGGCATCCAGAGTGGAGCCTGGCACGGGAGGACGCCCAGTTGGTGCTGGCTGGGGTATCACATCCTGGGCCAGCACCTCTGCTCCTGACAACTGGGGCCTGGGCTCTCTGGACCTGGGCCCTGATCCACACCAAGGCCTGAGTTCTAATCCTGGCTCTGCCACTCGCTGCGCAGCCTGGGGTAAATCACAGACTCACACCCGAGCCCGGGCCTTGCTTCCCCTGCGTGCAGCAGCCACGGGACGCCAGCACAAAACAAGACGAGCCTGATGGTGCTGGAGAAAGGGGCAACGCCCCTCCAGGGCCGGCACTGGACGCCGACACCTGGGCAGAGGGAACGGCAAGGCAGAAAGGTGCCTGGCACTGTGAGGGACACCACGAGGCTGGTGCCAGTGAGCTGGGGAGAAATCAGGTCAGAGACGCGGGGACCCGAGGGAGGAGCTTTACCCAGCACAGTAGGGAGCACGAGGAAGCAAGGAGAGAGGGGGAGGGGGAGGGAACTCAGGAGGGAGCTGGATGCACCCAGGAACGTGGCAGGTGACAGGAAACCTGTCCCCTGTGGCCCTCTGCTCTCAGCATGTCCCTCCCTCTGCTTCCCCGCTCCAGCCCCGGAGAGTTTCATTCTGAAGAGTTTGCAGCCCTGAAGGCTGGGCTCAGAAGCGCCTGGAGGCTGGACTAGGAGGCCCCATTTCTCCCAAGGGCGGGCGGGCAGGCATCCGTGCATTCCCCCGCTGCCCGTGTGCTGAGGGATGCTTGGAAAATAGCACTGGGAGGCCGTGGTGAGGAAGCGTCTCTGAAAGTGGGCAGGGCATCTGGGGGCAGGTGTCATCCCAGGCAAAGGGCCAGGGTGGGGGGATGGAGAGAAGAGCGGTCAGGACTGGCCCGGCAGCTGGGGGTTAGGCCAGGCCTTAGTATGCCAGCAGCAATGGCACCAGCTGCCCAGAGCGTGGGAGCGGAGGGAGAGGCAAATCCAGAGCCCTGTATCTGTGATCCATCACCCATGTCTGCCATGGCACCTGGTCCAGCTTTGCCCTGGGGGCTACAGCCATTCTAGACCCAGGTAGGCTGGAGGGAGGCACTGAGTGAATGACCCCACTACCCCACGAACACAACCCAAAATGAGCCAAAAAGCATCTCTTTGGGGTCTACAGCACTTCTCACCAAGAAAAGATCACTTCCAGGCTTTATAAGCTCCCTGGAGGGAGTCCCCCCCAGCAGGAGGCCAGGGTCTGGGTTTTACTGAGGGGGCCTCAACAACGTCTCTGTGCCCTGGCCCCTTTCTGGCACCCCACGGCTCCCAGCCTGTGCCCAGGCCTCAGCCCTGCCTCTGTCCTTGCCATTCCCCGAGCTGAGGACACGTCCCAGCTGAGTCCCTGCCCAGTCGTAGCTCAGCAGTGAGCGTGATGAGCGAATGAAAGGCTCCGCCCATCTGGGCCTCAGTTTCCCCATCCACCTAGTAAGAGGTGGCCCTCAGGCGCAGGGCCGTGCTGACGAGAGCTTGGGTGTTATTGTCAAGCATCGGCAGAGAGAGCCTTCCCGACACTGTTTCAAACGCTGTATGTGGCTCTTTTTTTTTTTTTTTTTTTTAGTTCATGCAGTCTTCGCAATATTCCCATAAAGTGTGACTGTCACCCTCCCTCACGTTCTAGGTGGGGAAACAGGCAGCAGAAGCCCAGCCAATCGTGGGGACTCAGGGCTCAAGCCCACCCGGCCTCCTGCCTCTCCAGGAGAAGGGCCGGTGTGAGCAGGGAGGGTCTGGGGCTCAGGGGCCTGGTCTAGCAGATGTCACAAGGGGCCTCCCTCTGAGCATGCCCAGGGAGGGTCTGCAGCAGTGAGGGACACACTTCCGCCTCTGCCTGCCCGGCACAGACCAGGGGACGGCTCTGCTCCCTTTCCCTTCTGCAGCCTCCAGGCCCCAGCCCTGGGGGAGGTGCCACCATCAGGAGCAGCCACAGTCATGGCCAGAGTGGGGGATGTGCTCTCCCCAGTGACTCTAGCCACTGGGCCCCCACCCTCCTTAGGAGACACTGGGCTGCCTTCCAGCCCAGAAACTCCTATGTGTCCAGAACATTCACCTACCGGATTAGTAGATGCAAGAGCTCAGCTGCCAGGGTCTCGCTGGCAGGTCACCCCGAGCCTGCTGCCTGCCCGCTACGGACCAGGGTGCCCCAAGCTTGTCTGTATTTATTCATACATACAAGAACCAGGGTACAGGCCAGAGGTGCGGGAGGGTGAGAGGATTTACCAGAGACAGAGTGGGGAGCAGAACAGGCAGACTGACTGAAATACACTGCTGAGGGGAGCAGCGAGCGAGACAGGAGAGGTCTGCCGCACCATGTGGGTATCTCCGCGGCCGGCCGGGATCGAACCCGCGCTGCAGAGGCTGCAGACAGCCTCATAGCGCTGCACTCAACCCCCTGCACCACCAGGGGAGGCCCATCATGGGAATTTTGTTCGACAAAGACCCTTCTAGCTGCTGCACAAGACAAGGGAAGATTATGTACAGGTGGGGAATCCAGGAAGGCTTCATGGAGGAGGTGACTTAGGTGAGCCTTTGGGAGGCTAGAGCTCAGATAGCCCGGAAAGGCAAAGCAGGTATTTCAGGGGGCAGGAGCAGATAGACAGGGCCCAGGAAGGAAGACTTTGGTGTTCTAGGAGGGAGAGCACAGGAATGAAGACCTAGAAGCAGGAATGTTTCTGGAACACTCACCTGGGGAGGTGAAATGGAAAATGAGGTTGGCAGGCCAGGCCCACATTGGTCCTAGGATGTGGGGGAGGAGGAAGTGGTGGCAACCGCTCCCTCTACATATGCTCCGCTTGCCTGGTGCACCCTGCGCTGCCCATTAGCTGGGTGTCCAGCAAGGGGCCAGCAGAGCTGAAGGGCAACCGCAGCTCTTGCCCCCTGCAGCCTGGGGACTCCGCCCCTGCCTCCCTCGGAGTTCCCTTAGCCTCCTGGCCTAGGTCCTTGCTGGGCTCCCACGCCTGACTGTGTGATGAGGACACATAGTAAGGCCTCAGTTCTCCGTCTGGACAGTAGACAGAAGACCCCAGGCAACAGCTGTCACCACTGGGTCACTATCTTTACAGGAAAGGTCTTCCCGATGTGTCCTCAATCCTGTATACGTGTGGGGAAACTGAGGCTCCAGGGTTATGTCACCTGAGGTTACTCAGATGGAAAGGCAAGGCCAGGCCTCTAGACTCCATTTCTAAGCCGCCAACTTTTACTAGAAGTTCTCCAAGCTCGCCTCCTTGCACACGTACCCCCGTCTCCACTCTGCCTGTCCTCCCTGTGTGAACCTCTGCTGTGCTCCACATTCCACACAGGCAGACAATATGCCACACTCTGTGCCCCAGCCCAGGGCAGGCATCACTAATCCATTACCAACCTCACTAACCCCCACTGCTCCTTGCCACGCAGCCTCAGAATCCTTCCTAACACAGCACTCCAGGCAGTGCCACCATGAACTGATATGAGCTGCATCCAAGAGGAAACCTATTTGCCATCTTTGAGCTAATCTAATGGCTCATCTAGCAGGAGAAGCAGCTGCGCCCCAAGGAGGAGAAGAAACTTCTCAAGGTCACTGGATGACTGAATGACAAAGCTGGGCCGGGGACACAGTCTCCCGACTAGTTTCTGATCCCAAACCCTCCCTTTGGTGGGCAGGGCCTGGAATGTGCCACACAGGGCCAGGGGGCACCAACCCCACAACAACACCCCACCCCCAGCCAGTACGGAATCTACAGCAATCCCTCCCTTGACTAATGGGTCTGAACAAAGGCTGCAGGGTTGAGGGTGGTGGGGTGGGGGGATTTGTGGCTGGGCCTCTCTCACAGGCCTGCCCAGGGCCCCATCCCACCAGCACAAAAGCAACACCCTAGCCCTACCCCCAAAACAATGTGGGGAAAAGCAGTTACTCACCACTGCTGCACCTCCTTCTCGGTAACTGCAAGAGAAAACAGAAAAGAGGCCTTTTAGCTCAGGGAGGTGTCCCAGGGAACAGGCAGACTCGGGGCCCCCTCCTGCTCACCCCACCCCACCCTACGCACCGGCTTGCCCATGTCAGGCACCAGCTGATGCTGAACAAGAAAATGCCCCAGGGAACAGCCCCCAGCCAGCTCTGTGCCCGGCACCCTGCAGGGGACAGCAGATCCATCCCCTGCCCACAGCCACCCCGGCTGCTTCAAGGACTGCCAGGACCACCTCATATGTGCGGGGGGTGGAGGGGCCGGGAGAGCATGGTCAGGGAGGGTGTGAGTTTCTTGGGGATTCAGCCACCCCATGCCATGCAGGGTCCCCGCTGGGGAGGGAAGCAGCTCTCAGCCCTCGCAGCACCCAGCACTCCATTCCTCCAGCCACTCGCAGTGGACCTCCCAGCTAGACAGGCCAGGCCAGACGGAGCTGCCAACCAAGAGCAAAGGAAGCCACGCAAAGCGGCCTAGTGGCCAGCCAGGCCCAGCAGCCCTTCCCCGCTGGCCGTGAAGGCAACCAAGACAGCGGCACTTCTGAAAAGCACCGAAAAGGCTCAAGTTGGAACCAAACCAATGTTCTCTCTAAAACCACTGAGCGAGAAGCTGTGTGGGCCACCTCCGAGGCCACACTCACTCCCTGCAAGGTGACCCCGGGAAAGTGCCCGGCTTCCCAGCCCTCAGCCTCCAGGTTCCACAGCAGGGAGGAGGGAGTCAGCCCTGCAGCTCGAGTGGACCCGGGAACCTGAGCCCCACGGGTGTGAGACATGGGGTGCCGGCACGGGGTGGGGGTGCATGGACAGGAGGTGGGTGCTAGGTGGAGGTCGGGTGCAGAAAGGAATTAGATCCCTGGGGTGTGGGAAGAGAGGCCCTGAATCTTTGTGCCTCATCAGACTTGAGGAAACCACGTCTCAAAGACTGGTCAAAGCCAGCTGTAACAGCCATCCCGCACCGGTGCCCTTGGGGTACCCCGATCTGCACCCCGTGCTCTGGCCCAGCTGATACGGCTCTGAGCGAAGACAGTGTTATTCTGTCCTGGCTCTGTGTGGGGAAACTGAGGCACACAGGGCCAGGACAAGCAGTAGGGTGAGATCGGAACTCTTCTGGGGCTCAGCAGCCCGACCCACAGCCTCGAACCCGGTGGTCAGACACCTGGGCCGGGAGGGCCCTCCCACAACCTCAGGTCAGATGGTGAGGGACAGCCCTGCCCTGAGCAGGCCGCTCGCCAGAGTGCCAGGCCTTGGTGGGCGGGAGAGACCAGGGACCCAAACAGCCTGGCCTGCTGGAGAAAAACACAATTTCCAAGAACCTGGCAGAGGGCAGGGGTGGGAAGGAGTCAGGCCAGGGGGGCCGAGGTACAGGACAGCGTCATAGATCAGGCAAAACTCGGGGTTTGCCGGGGCTCAGCCAGCGCCCCAGCTTACTAGCCACGTGTCCCTGCGGAGGGCGCTGCCCCTGAGTCTGCTTCCTCATCTGCAAAATGGGCTTGTCCTGAAGACCAAGGTGCTCGGTGCTAAACACCTGACCGAGAATCCGCAGGCAGGTGTGGTCCCCCAAATCCATGAGAAGACTGAGGTTCAGACAGGTTGCTGACCTTGCCTGAAACGGCAGGACCAGGGGGCCAGGCTGTGCCTCCAGAGCCCAGGATGGACGCCCTGTTGGGTGCCCCCCCCCAGGTCAGCCAGTGAGCTGCACGACCTCGTGTGACCTTGGCATTGTGTGGCATATGCAGGAACTGGCCGGCAGGTCCACTGGGGGCCTTGAGGTTGCGGGGGTTCACAGAGTCAGAGGCTTCCATGGAACCCTGGCCTCCTCTGACCCCCACACAATCCCCAGGGCTTCTCTGGCCCTGGCCTTCCGTTGCCTCCTCACCGCCTGAGCCCCCAGGACGCAGCAGCCATGAGCTGGAGGGAGGGTGAGTTCCCCCTCCCCACTAGCATGGTCCTGGGTGATCATTCTAGTGGGTTAAGCAGCCCCCCACCCTGCCCGGCCCCCCAGGATGTGCGCTGGGTGGGAGACAAGCCCTCCCCAATGCTTCAAGCAGCTCATTAACCTTTAGGAAGCCTATGAGGCCGTCGGGGTCCCTGGCACCGTGCCGGGCAAGCAGCACCTCACCGCTCACTGCCTGGTCTCGGAGGGTCTCGGAGGGGGGTGACAGCAGACAGCTCCCCGGGGGGCGGGTCACCTGCCTCCAGCCCCTCCCCCAGGGCCAGGCAGGCCGGCGTCGGAATCCCTGTCCCGCTTACCAGCAAGCACCCCAACCTAGAGTGGGGGAGGTGAGCAGAGGCAGGAACCCCAAGGCCACAGGCAGAAGGAGGTCTCTGCCCCCCCGGGGCAGCTCCGAGACCCGCATCCCCAGCATCCTGCCCGTTTCTAGAAGCTCAGCCATCCCACACCGCCTCGGAGAGCCTTCCCGCGCCACCTGTCCCGTGAGCACTCGGCCGCTTCTCTCAGTCAGCTCGCTTCCCACCCCCCGGTCCACCCCCGCGTCAGTCCAGACCATCGCGTCCCTCAACTAGCAGGGGCGTGGCGAGTCCCATCTTCCCCACACACAACACAACCGCTAAAGAGGATTGTCCTCCGTCAAACTGGCGCCCCCAGGTGTCCACTCCGCCCCCACCCCGCCACGGGCCCCTGACTGGATGCAGCGAGGACGAGCAGGCCACGGAGTGCTCCTGCCCGGAAGAGCTAACCCGAGCGCGATCCTGAAGCAGATGAAACTGCAACGTGGGGCCTTCCACAGACCCACCGGCGCTTCGGTCAGCCCGCGCCAGGAAAGGTAAGGCGAGGCCGGGAATTGTTCTAGAAAGAGACGCGAGAGACAAAGGCCGCCAGTGTGCCCTGGTCTGACTTTCAGCCCAGCTCCGAGGTGCCGGGGAGCCGCTCCAGGGGCTGGCTGGGCACCAAAGGCCCTGATGGACTCGCTGGCACGGAGGTTATGTGGGACAGTGTCCTTCTTTATAAAGAGGTGCCCTGAAATTTTTAGGGGGGACGTTCACCCCTAATGCCTGCAGCTTCTTGGAGAGGCTCACAAAGACACGCGCACATGCTTAGGAAGAGCGAGGACGACAAAGAGCAAACACGACAAAGCGCGGCCGGCTGGCCAGTCGAGGAGAAGACGCCCCGGGGTGCGCTGCGCTGGTGTTTCAATGTTTCTCTGGATTTTTCCAAATAAAAACCTGGGGAGCCGGTGGCGCAGCGGTTGAGCGCTGGGTTGCGAAGCTGCCCGCGGCCTCTGCAGCGCCGGTTCGATCCCCGGCTGCTCCTCGGCCACCAGAGGAGGGTCCCACATGGCGCGCAGACCTCTCCTGCCGCCCGCTGCTCCCCTCAGCAGTGTCCTTCGGTCCTTCTGCCTGCTCTGCTCCCCGCTCTGGCTCTGGTGAATTCTCTCACCCTCCCGCGCTTCTGACTGTACCCAGTGCGTGTATAAACAAACAAACAAATAAATAAAAAACTTTAAAAAAAAAAAAAACCTGGGGAGGGGGAGGTTTGTACTCATGAGTCCTCAAGCTGCGCACCCCTGCCGCGAGTGCCAGCAGGACTGGGGGCCAGCCCAGGTCTTGGCTGATTACCACGGGCCCTGGAAGGGAAGAGGGACTGGGGTGCAATTATGGGGTCCTTCTGCACTGACCTCTGCCCAGATACTGGGGTGACATTCCCAGGATTGGGCTCCAGGCTGGGTCCCATCTCCCCTTCTCCCAGAGCCTCCACCCAAGCGCGAAATTAACAAGCGTCCAACCATGCCGCCGTCACGCGTGGTGGGTCCACTCTGGGCGCTCTGGGCCAGAGGGCCGGGGCTCAGGACCCAGCAGGAAGGAGGGCCATCCTCAGTGCAACCAGCTCCTTCCTGGCTACACCCCAACCTCGTGACCCTCCCGCCCCTCTAACAGGTCAGCCTCCTGGCTGATGTTACTGTTTCCTGGCCTGTCGTTACTGTTCCATCTGCCCAGAACACCCACACTCACCTTCCACCCGGGACCCCACACACATCAGATCCTGGGAGGGACCCTGCCTCGCCCCCTAGCAGCTCTGCTCCCGCGTGGCTTCACACAGAGTCTGTCACCCACAAGCTCAACAGCAGGTCGGGGCGCTGCCTGCGGCCAGGGGAGCAGACCCAGGGTGGAGAGCACAGTCCAGAGAAAGTGCTCTGTCTGTGTGACCTTGGCGATGACACTCCGCTGGGCCCTGGCTGGCTCGTCTGTAAAATGGGACAGGTGCCAGCCCGGCTGGCGGGAGGACGTGGCCAAGGCGTGGTGTGACGTCTGGCTCCCACAAATGCTCAACAGAAGCGACTTCTTTTCTCGCCCTCCTGTCTGGATGCTGAGTTCTCAGAGGCCAACATGCTTCTCCCAGCACCAGCCTTGCAGCCCAGCCCCAGATCCTGCTCCCCGGAGGCAGAGAACAAGCCCTGGCTGGGTCCTCCGTGTCCCCAGCAGCACACCCTAAGGCTCGTTTCTCACCCGACAGGTGGCTCTAGACGATTTGCAAACAAGCTGCCTTTCTCTAGCAGGCTCCAGATGGGGGAGGTGGGGGGTAGGGGGGCAGGCTCACCCCCACACTAGGATTAGAACCAGATTGGGGCTTTATGTGGTCAGAATGTTGGGGAGATCCCGGTGGGCACCCTGTCTCGGCTACTTGTAGGCTGGGTTACTCCACACAGGTTACTTTACCTCTCTGAGCCTAGAGCTCAAATTCCTACCTGGCAGGGCTGTCAGGAGGGTTCTTGAGAGGCAGAGAGAACATTCCTGGCTTAGAGCAGGCTCAGAGCCAGGAGCAGAGCGAGGCGCCCGCTCCATGCCCCACCCTTGGCCTCAGGAGTCTGGCTAGGGAGATGGGCCTGGCGTGCCCTGCGGTGGAAGCAGGAAGCCCATCGAGCCCCCCACACTACACCCCAAAGCACTAGAATGCCCCAAGGCCGCCCCTGCTCCTCCTCCCTCCACGCAGCTCTCAGCTGCCAGCAGGGAACAGGAGAGCCGGT